TGTATTTTAATCTCATTCCAAAAAGAAAGAAAATTTCTAGACACAAAGACATCTATTCAATAATGTTTACATACATTCAGCAACTTAAAATATTATAAGGATCCAATATTTTCATCTTTTATAATCTCAATATATTATATATTTAATATATAATATATACAATACATACAGGTAGTCAGCAGGATTACCTGTTGGATTTTTTCGTTATTGTCCTTTGAAGAGTGACTAATATATTACCAACAGAAACAACTTTAGCTCCTTAACCTCCTCTAAAACATGGCTCAGTTTGAAGAGTGTTCTGCAGGCAGCCACATGAATATTAACAGTACCTTAATACCACTGAGAGCAACCTATAACTGGAGTCATAAGAAAAGTTTCAAAGACTGTTTCAGAGGTTTCTGTAAACCAAGGCAACCAGAAGTATTACCCTTGCGGATAGCCCTCTCTCACATCAGTTAATACAAGGAGTTAAAATTTCCAATGCCCCAGTATAGCACTTAATCTATTCAGTAATTTTACATATTATACCATTAATTCACCCTGAGAATACAGAGGAAGCATTTCAAACAAGATATTCTGATATGTTTCTTTTTTCCTTTGTATTTGCTTTCTCCTGTGTTTTTTGTCAGCCCTTCAAGGGCACAAATATTTGAATCCCAAGTGTGACTTGGATATCCTTTTTTGTTAACTGAGATTCATGCCACAGTGAGATACTGGTGATAGAAAAGCCCAAAAAGGCTTGTAGAAAAGAGACACGCAGCAATCCACCAGGTTAGAAAAGACAGAAGTCCTCGAAAGAGCAGAGGAGTGAAAATGTTTTTTAAGCTGCTCAGTGCCACTGTTATCTGTGTAACAGTTACCTTCACCTTCCCATCCGCAGATGGTAATTCAGAGTAAACAGAACTGGATGGTAGACTATTATCCACTGGCAAGGTAGAGATGGATTCTGGATAAATGCCCCAGGAATGATGACCTAGAAAATTCAAGACACAAATATAACTTGAAGAATAACTAATTCCAAAGCTTCTTATTAAAAATAATAAACTGTTTAATTTATATTTGAAATTAAAAACAAGAATTTTGTGGCAAAATAAATTATTTTATGTTAAATATACAGTAAAATAATAATCTTTCAACATACCTAGTAAAATATTCATTCAACTTGATCAGACTGTAATCTGGCCTCATCAGTAAAAGTATATATAAAAGCTACAAGTATAATTTACTTTTGATAGCTACACTAAAATCTTCTAAAATAATAAAAAAAATTTTCCTTATGTAATATCTGAATCAACTATCTCTACTGAAGTGACAGAGACAGACTCAATAACTTCTTAGAAATCTTTTCTTCCTCTAGAATATCAGAATAAATTTCTTTCTCAGAAACTATCTGTGATTTTAGTGTGAAAGACTATTAATAGCTTCCAGAAATTTTTTCATCATATACTTTCCAATGTTGGATAGGATATGAATCACATCATTTACAATTGAGCTACTCCTTTATGTTCCATAGATTCCTAAAGGACATTTCCAACTATCATCAGCTCTACAGTACCTACTAAGCACACTCAAATAACACTTTTAGTTCCTTTAGCTTCTTAACCGCCCCCTCCCACTGTCACCAAGGAAAATGATCAATACAATAATAGATACTTCCTGAATAACAACACACAGGGACGTGATACCTTAGTTAACAGACTTATAGGATAACTGTTCTTCCATGGAGAAATCTCTACTCTTCAACTTAAGCTACATATAAAGTAGAACTCACAAAAGGATTCTCTAATTCATATAAGTTTATAAGTATCTTGGAATAATTTAAATACTAGGCACTAACAAAACCTTAAAAAGTTCTTTTATAACATAAAATAAGATCAACAGTGCTCACTCAAGTTATTCAATAAATCTGGGAACTAACCTTTGGTAATCAATTTTTATAAGTAAAGCACAACATAAAACCATATAGGCTTGAGTTTTCAACATGAGAAATCAACTTCTAAAAGTTTTCCATGTTTCCTATTCAAACTTTTCAAGAGAGGAACAATTTTAAGATGCATATTTCCTCGTAGGTAAGAAGAAGCATTGTTAAGCACAGGTGGAAAGTACAACATGTTCCCAGTTGCCAGGGCACACCTACCTAGTGTTTTTAAAAGCAGAGTTGTGTGAAGCAGCATCACCAGAGGCGCCACGTACTGCAGTGCGATGACACAGAGGTAATAAAAGACCCGCGCCACCTACAACCAACAACATTCTTCAGTGTCTAATATGGCTGACATGTTATGAGTGATTTAAACTTTCAAATAACTGTCAAACTGAACTGTTTGAGATAAGAAATCTTTTCATGGAAATGAAACTAAATGGTAATAAGTTCTGTACCTCATTATAAATGTCCCCAAACTGACTTCAGAAAGACTCAGTTTGAAGATAACTTTCTTCAAGTGTGAAAATATTAAAATAGTTTCCTTTAAAAAGTTATCGATTAATATAAATTGAAGAAAATAACCACAAAAATTCAAATAGTATATATTCACTTACACTTCAAATATAAAACAAAATAAGCAATCTCTAAAGACAGACACCTAAACAAATATCAAACAAAGTAATAGTAATAGGCAGAGTCATCCATGAACAAAACCCGCTCATAAATAAAAGCATCAACTCCCCATCCTATATGAATATATTTGTTTAAGGTCAAATAATTATAGAGTATGAAAAGATATAAAGGACAAACAGAAAAATGCTGAATGTTGATAAACACTCCTGACTTATAAATGAAGTTAAAAAAAGGGGCTCTAACACCAAATCTAAAAAAAAAAGACATGATCAGGCTAGATGTCCAGTCCGCTACAATGCTTGAGGGATTCCTAGCACTTTCCTCCTCTGGAATCCCCATTAAGTTAAATGTTTACGTTTCATGGTCAATTTTTGGAATAATGTTAAAACAAAATATATGTAGTCACTAAAATTAGTATTTCCTACCCATTAATTCATAAAGGCTTGACAATATATTGTAATGTCTTTCAAATCAATTAGAGGATCTCAACTTAGCAATAGTAGACATACCACAGCTTTACACCACACTACTGTAAGGTGCTTAAAGCACTTAAGGCAGAAAGAGGAATTAAGACCCTTTTTTACATGGGAACAGACTGACGAAGCACAGAGGGAAGGGGGGTTGGCAGTGGGACTAGAAAGATTAACCAAAGAACTTATATGCATATATGTATTGCCCATGAACACAGACAATAGGGTGGTAAAGGCCTGGGGCAGGGTGGGAACTGGATGGTGAAGAGCAAGGGGGAGAAAAAAAAGGAGGGACATTTGTAGTATTCTCAACAATAACAATATTTTTTAAAAAGACCCTTTCTTCTAACACCAAAATCAGATCAAAGTCTCTTGATGTCTGTATAAAATCATCCCATTTATTTACAATAAAAATATTATAAAATTATAATCTATTAAAAGAAACCAAATTATTTTTTTCTTACAACACAGTATTTTTCATTTTAACTACAGTATAAAACTTACCATTTTCTGTAGCTCCACTGTACTTATTCGGCCTGCTTCTTTCTTCATCTGATCCACACACTTCTGGGCTAAGTTTAAGTAAGCTTGCAGGTGACTACGCATCATGGCCAGCCGTAAAGCACACAGCAGGATTATTACCCAGAGTCGCAGAGTATCGAATGTAGCTTCTGTCATTCTACAGATCAAAAAGTTGACAGGGTGCTCTCAAAGATCTTATTATGCTGGCACGTTAGTTATGTGCTAATGCTCACCATAGCCTATAGTTAGAAACCTACACTTAGCTACAGTTGAAGATATAAAGCAAAAGTATCCCACTCTGCCACAGACTTGCCTATACCAGTACTTTCACCGGTATAACAGAACCAGATAGATGAATGGTTCACGAAAGTAAAATAGGAAAGATATCTAAAAGAAAGAAAGAAAGTACAGTAGTACTTGGGATCCTTTTCTCTATTGATCCTTCTCCACGGAAAAAAAAAATTGACTGTGAAATGAAAGGAGTTGGGTGCTCTTCAACTGGACACCAGGAAAAAGAAAGCAGGAAAGCACTGGAGACTGTGGAATTATTAAGTCAATGACCCATCTACGGCATGGGGAAAAAGTAGGTCTACAGTTGTTCATGCGGAAAACAATACAGTATTTAACCCCTTCCCCGGCAGAAACGTGTATACACGTTTTCACAAAATGTTCTTTTTTCAGTCGTCGACGAGTATACTCGTCTAAAACTTTACCTTCAAAAACCAGCTACATACGTACCATTCTAAATAATTTCATCTAGAAATTTCAACTTTCTGAGGAAATACTATTCTTAACCACAAAAATGGGAAGAAAAAATAATTACAAACTGTTTTCATAACCAGCATCAAAAATACTATATAGAACCAAAATAAAAAAATTAGTCTGAAAAAGAAACGTTTTTAACAAAAAAATTGTTGGGGAAGGGGTTAATAAACAGAACAAGAATAGACTCTGTTTTGTGTACTCACAATTGTAAACCTACTTTTCTCCATCCTGTATTGTGGCTGGAAGATGCAAGGCCATCCACAGCCCTGCGCCTTTCCAAGGGGCCTATAGACAACACTGTGCTCTCGGGAGCTACACAACAAGGGGACTTGACTGATAGCATCCTGAAGACAGCCATTACACAGACTTTGAGGGTGACAGGTAATGGAAATGAAGGGAATAGAATAAAGCAGTTAATCAAAAAAATATCTGCTCAGTTTATGACTTCAGGATTTATAATGAAGTCATTAAATAGTACTTCTAACTCATTATTTAACTAACCTCATAAAGATTTGGTAAGTTGATCTAATGGGGTATCTCAAGAAGAAGTCTGAGCTGGGATAAAATACATAAGTAAAGAACAGGCAGAAGACATTTCTCCAAATTCCTGAAGTCATTCTAGGTTTCACTGTATACGTTCTATGGTCACTTTTGGTTTTCTTCTTATGAGGTCACGAGCACACACAAATGACCACGTTTTATTTTTTTGATGCTAAATCAGAACACATGGATAGATTTAAATACATTTCTGGGTTGAAACTGCATTATAACCATTTTTGCTTCTGACTACAAATAAAGACCTTTCCATAAACCATTTAGTCCATGTAACAGGCGAAAAACCTGTCACTTGCTTTCTTCTTCATCTCATTTTCTTTGATTGATGGGCAGCCATTCTTTCTCAGTCTACCACATGGACTTTGAATTTTAAGCAAAAATTAAAAATCACCTCTGTCTAATCATTTAATATAATGGTCTAAAAAATAGAGACTAGAATGGACTAGAGACAAGGCTATAATTTTGTTTGAATTACTTATGAAGTGGATCAGAAATTGGGATGGACCAAAGGAAACAAAGATATAGGAAGGCAATACTCGGTCTTCATATAAAACACAATTTTTCTATAATTTAATATACAAACAAGGCAAAATAATTTATCTCCATTTCCTTTAAGCATAGTATTTGCTACTAACATGCACAAAGTTTACTTAGGGTGAAAGTGGGAAATGAATGTTGGTAAGTGCTAAGTGCTTTATATATACCAAATGTGACTGAATAATCTTAGCCAAATTATTTAATTTCTGAGTCCATTACTTTATCTATAAAATGAGATGAGAATAGCAATCACACACAGAATTACTGTAAGAATGACATAAAATATGTAAATTATCAACACCTAGCATAATAACTGGTGTATGACTGATATATCATGAATGCTGATTTCCTATTTTCCTAATTAAACTAAGGCAAATATAAAATCAGAGAATATAATAATCTATATATATAAAAGGTTAATATGCTAAGTGTCCCTCCAACCATCCAACCGGTCGTGATGACATGAACTGACCACCAGGGGGCAGACACTCAACGCAGGAGCTGCCATGAGGCGCACTGGCCATTTACAAAGAAACGGCACCGCGGACCTGGCGCCAACAAAGCAGTATTCGGCTTCCCCCAAGTGGAACACAGGCCCTGCCACCACCCCGTGGTGGCAGCCCACCAAATTGCAGCCCATGCTGCCAAGACCCCATGGCACAAAATGCGGCCCACAGCTCAGCCCAGCCCAGCAAGGGTGGCTGCAGGCGCTGGGTAATGATGTCACATAGCAACGCCCAGCTTCCTCTTCCTAGCAAATAGCATCCTTGGAGTTTCTTCAGCCCGGGAACACAACTTGTTTTATAGCCAGGTGCAAACAATTTACACTTTAACCAAATGTTTGTGAAGTGTTTTCACGTGCCTCATCTCATTTGATTCTCCCAGAAGTCCTGGAGTAGGTAGATAGGAGGCTCACTAGAATCCTATTTTCTTTTCATTAGCTGGAAAACGGAGATGTAGAAAGTTTCGAAAGTTGGCTGATTGAAAAGAAATGATGGACCTTGAAAACGACTTCAGGTTTTCTCACTGCGCAGAGTATAGTCAAACGCTGCTTCAGTTAAATATTTTACTCTTTGTTCTCCCTGCGTGATCTACAATAATAACCTGCCTTGTGTTGATATTCACTGCTGTGTTGCTGACAATTATCTGAAAGAGAAGTTGGGGTGCTTCACTGGGCTGGAAAAAATTTAGCTAAATCAGAAAGCAGGTCTAATTAAGCACGTTTATTCTTTATATATAAAAGGCTAATTTGACTCGCGCATGAGCCATACCTATAAAACTCTTGCTGGTGCCAATTGCACTTGTGTGTTTCAATCTGTCATTGTCAATAGTGAATTTGGTTGACACTTTTATTATAAAGAAAGGATGAATAGTGATATTAAAATATTTCTTCTAATTAATTTCCTTTCAGTGTGCATGAATCCGTGCACCGAGTCACTAGTAGGAGTATAAAATCCAACGCCTATGACCAAACTTCAAAGAAAGACTGGGCATGCTTTCAACATCAAAGACATTAGTTAGAAGTTTTTCTGAGATTTTGTCTAGAGCTCTAGGATTCTCAGGGTATACACTTTACCACCCCCCAAATACAAACAAAGTATTATTTAGAAAGTCACAAAGGTAGAAGTGAACTGTGGAAGAAGTGAGCCAGCTGGACTACATGGGCCTAGGAAACAAGTGCAGAGACAAAAGAAGGGCCCTTGAGTTTAAGAGAAAGAAAGACATAAGCAACTCGAAGAGGAAAGTTTCGGGCATGCTAGAAGAGAGAAAAAGAGGAGGAGAGGAGAGAGAGACCCACTTTTAAATACTTAGTGAATCTGTGAAGTTAAATTTACCATTAAGGCTTAAACGTGTGGGGGAAAAACATTCTTTTATTGGTACTTCCCTAATTCAATCAGATTAACTTTTAATAAATGTTATGGCCCTGGCTGGGGGGCTCTGTTGATTGGAATATTGTCCCATACAACAAAAGGTTTCAGGTTTGATTCCTGGTCAGGGCACATACCTAGTTTGAGGGTTCAATCCCAGGTCAGGGTGCAGCTAGGAGGCAACTGATCAATGTTTCTCTCTCACATCAACATTTCTCTCTCTCTCTAAAAATAGAAAAAAAAAATAAAAAAGTTATGGTCATCACTGATTATATAATCTAAGACAAATCTGTACCAGATCTAAAAGTATACATAACATAAAATGCACACTGTGGAGTCAATGACTAGTCAAAATTTTCTATTTTAATTCTGATGAGGTAAAGCACTGAAGGGAATATTTATTAAGCACTTATTTCCAGCTGGTTGCATTACATGTGTTCTTTCATTTAATTCCAAAGATAACTTTGTGAGGTGGATACTATTATCTTCATTTTCCAGATGGGGAAACAGAGGCTCAGTGAAGTTAAATAATCTCCCTCAAGTGACAGTTTTAGTGAAGATCAGAACTGGGGTTTAAACCAGCTCTGTATGAACCTTTCTATTACTCTAACATCATTTCACAAGGCTAATGAGTTAACATATCAAGTACATTTATTAATGCCCTTTAGTAAATTATTTCTATGTTTCCTTACCAACTTCTGTTAAAATATGGCTGTCTAAGAGATAATATTAGATAATAATGTCAAGGCATTATTTAAAATTTTGATCAGTGTGATGATGACACTGATATGCAGGAAAATGTCCTTATTTTTTAGAGGTACACACTAAAGTACGTAGGAGTAAAAATGTTATGCCTCTAATATACTTGAAAAACTACATAAAACAAAACAAAACAAGGGTGAAGCAAATATGGAAAATGTTATAACTACTATGGGGGCTTTATATATGAATTTCCATTTATACTTATTTTTTCCTCCATAATTTTCACAATCAAAACAATAAAATAATTGTACAAAGTATCTTTAAAACAGGCACAATGACAATAGAAAAATACCAGATAACAACTGGACAATAACTGAAAAAGCAGAAAAACTTGTAAGTATTCAAAATAATGTTAATGCAGGGTAATAATCATCCACATTCATTAATAAAGATCACAAAAAGTAAAATGAGGGCTTGAAGCTTCACTTTTACAACACACTTTTAGCATTTCTATTGTTTTAAAAAGTGTCCTAATATTCTACTTAAAATTTTTAATGCAGTACACATTATTTATTATATAATGAAACAAAAATTAGCCCTCAAACACCCATACTTACAAAGGGACACTTTCTTTACCCAATGGTGGGTTCATGATGTAGTCTTTGGTGATTGGTTTTACCCAGAGCAGAACCATAAGTAAAGGTGCCAAGAAGTTGATATGAAGCAATGTTCTGAAAGTATGCAAGAAATAAACATAAAAATCCAGAAACAAAATACACTAATAAACTACAGAAACTTGGGACTTACATAACGAAGGCAAAAACTTATTTACAGTATTCTATATATTTAAGGTGCTATCACCATTATTTAATATTTATCATTATCATTTAACACTGATTTGAACCCTTGCAAAACTATTTCATTGTCTTAATTTTTCAGATAAGAACACTTAGATCCATGAAAGTTAAAGGACTTGCTCATAGCAATTATTATGTCAAGGGCAGATCTAGCATTAAAATCTAAATCTGTTCACTTTTATTGTAGCATTAAAAACCCCTCCTATCTCCCTGATTTAATACATGGGTACTTAAATGATTCTCTAACTTTACATAATCAATGAATTCAAAGATTTTTCAGTATGCAGTCATCTTTTGATACTTTTCAGTGTAACTAAAACAACATGCCTCATTATTTACAAGTAAGATATAGGGACTAGCAAGATCCATAATACTAGAAGGCATACAGTAGATGGAACCTACTGCAACAACTTAGGACGCTTTCAATATATAATGATCATGTATATTGTTCTAATTATGTTGTTAAAATCATAAATAATTTATAAGTTTTCTTCTCGGATATTATAAAAATACATGAAATAAATTTCCCTATCCTTTACTAATCAAAGAAATTTATATTACTCCTAACAAGACAATATACTTTAATACAGCAAAAGGTTTCAGGTATGAGCTATACCTTCATTAAGTGTTGTCCCAAACGTGTACCCCACAGAGATAGACGACTAGTAAGGATTTTTCTTATTTTAGAAAAAAGGAGAAATCCTTCAGATTATTTTATTGCCATGTACTACTTTCATTATCAACCAGAGTGAAGGGCTACACTGGAAGGTTTAACATACACATACACACACACACACACACACACACACACACACACACAGCTGGGAACCATGAACACCTGACAGGGAAAGGTGGAACTCTGGTTCTAAGCTCTGGCATTAAAACGAGTACTAGTGCCTGGCCATGGGGGTGAAGAGGACGTTGCTCTTTGTGCCAGTCATGCTACTCTCTCAACAAAATGGGCTTGCCCACACCCGTGTATCAGGCAGAGTGCTACAACACAATGTGGGGCTAAAATAAACTGAAAATAAGACTCCAAATCACTAAAGTGAAAAATCTTAAAAAGAAGCTATGTTTTAAAAGGAAACTAAAATGTGCCTCCACCCCCACCCCAAAACACCACTAAATGTTTGTAATGTTTTAATAAAGTGATTCTCTCATCTCACAGGCTGGGTAAACCTTCGGGTGTGGGAAAGAAGGCAGCAGTATTAGGTATGCAGTGTTGCTAGGGAACACTCTAGTATTAAGGAGCAGCCCACAGCGGTTTCAGTAGTTGGTGAAGGTCTCCCCTCCACCCACCCTTTCAGCTTATTTAAATCATAACACTGGCGTTAGTGGCCTGAAGTGTGTGTGTAGAGAAGGGAGGAGAACCAGGTTTTGTTTTAAAAGAAGCCATTAGATAGATGGAATGGTGAGAGAAAAGCAGGATGTAAAAAAGAGGAGGAAAAAGTGGGATGAAACAGTGTGCATTGGTATGTGAGAGTAAGTGAACACACACACATATCTAAAAAAATGGAGGTAAGAAAAAAAAAAGACTGTCAAAATTAAAATAAAGGAAATGACATAGGTAAGAGTTATTGATATAAAAACACTACAGAATCAGCATCATTAAAGTATGTGTTTTTAAAGAGCAGAAATGTTAAGAAATGATCATTCAGAAACTTAATGATTATAAATACATATATCAAGAACGACTATTCTCAACTCAGGCTTCTATTGCAAAACAGAAAGATGAGGAGGGAATTTGGATGTGGATATATATGATCTGGATCTATAAACCTGTCAGCTAAGGAATCTGCATCAACAAAAAAATATATATGATAACTACAAAGAATATAGTAAATGGGCTTTGAACTATCTATAGGTTTTCAAATATGATTTCTCATTTTGAGAACTAAAATAAAATTTGATAGTTAAAAGTAGTCTATGATATTTAACAGTGTACAGTACTAACAATCCCAAAAATAAAACAATGAATCCTTCTAACAAGAGTTGTACAAACACCTCTTCTGTATGCATATTTTACTTTAAAAAATGTAATTTTTTTAAAAAAATTAAATAACACTGTTTACATACAATTTAAAGAAAATATTCCATACATCCTCAGTTCTGTTGTAGAAATTACAATATCAAAAATTGTCCTGTGATAAAAAGTTAACATAAATAATGACATTTCCATTCTAACAGGTAAAACAATCTAGCAACTGATGTTATATTTTTTAAACCCAGGACTTAAAATTTGGAAGCGAATAAAATAAACTTGCTTAAAGTAGAAAGAGGAAGTATTGTGACATCAAATTAATTTTCAATATAAAAATGTATGATTTCATTACAATAATATACCTTCAATAAGATGGAAAACATATATTTATCTGCATGTGCTTATGTACATTTTCCGCTTACTGTGTAATTTTTTCTGTTGCCAAATTCAGGGCATCCAGATGCATTTGAGCCAGCCGTAATCCAGGAAATGTCAAAAAAGCCCCAATGAGTGAACAGAAAATAGCCAGGAAAAATTTGAAAGTAAGTTTTGAAACAGGACCCCTAAAAATAAAATTTTAAAAGATCTGATAAATTTTTACAGTTACCTTTCTAGGAATTTTTCTTTCTTCTAATCAATCATTTAAAAAACACAATAATAGTAATACACAGAGTGACTTTTACAAAAGGACTGCACTTATCCAAATATCCATAGTAAAATTTAGTGAAGTATAAACGAAATCAGGCATCTCTTTAGCTACATTTGAACAATCCAACCTACATATTCAACATAGAATTTGATACGTGACATGTAAAAATTCTGTGAAAGATACTAATTTTATACAAATGTAAAAATTAAAAGAGTATTTCTAAAAGTGACAGTCCTACTTAAAACTCTTTCACTGGTTACAAACAAAGAACCTTTCATAATAAATCTATTCTACTAAAAATGTAAAAATTTAAGTGATGCTTAATTAAAAAAACAAAAACAACTTACTGAGATTCTAAACCTTGCTTTTCAAGAAACTGCATCGCACTGTCTGAAAAATTTGTAAATCCTGTAGGGGAAAAATATCATTCTTACCACTGAAGTAAAATACAGAATCTTTCTTTGGAAATAAAATGCTAGAAAACAGAGCATCTTATACTTTGAAGTGACTAGTTTAGCTCTTTCATGTGCTAATTATCATGCCATAATGCAATAAAATTTGGTTACTAGCAGGAACAGTCTTTGAAAACATCCTTTTGATATTTGTACATTCCATGAGTGTGCATAAAATTTGCATTAAGATTTGCATCTGTGTTTATGTGAGTAAACTTTAGCATTACAGAAACTCATTTAATTATAAGGAAAAAAGTGGGGCAAGAGTGCATGCCTGAAGGTAACAAAAACTTAGCTAAAACAAAAGAGGAAGGAAGATATTACTTAATAACAATAAAGGTTAGTTACTTAGAACATTGCAAAATATGCACCTCTAACCTAATTTTAAAAACTTATCTGATGTAAAACTTACTTGAATATTGAAGTAAAAAATAGTAACACTAGACAAAGCAAAACTGATTTTTAAAGTTGTATGAATTACCTGTTTCGAGTCCAAATTCCAGATAATTTTCTGTTACAATCAAGACTGCCATTGCTTTCACGAAGAAAAAAAATCCAAAGGTAACACAGACTGATCTTTCACCACCATCTTTTACTTTAAAATAGTGTGTAGTTAATGAAAATAGAACTTTGCTGCAGAAGGAAAAGTTCAGGAAAAACCACAAATAACTTTGTGGGAGTCAGACACAACCATCTTTACAGAACTTGAATTCCAATAAAATTTGACTACATGTATTTTGATTCTACAACATGCTTATATACGAGGTGCTCTTTGGAAGGAAATGAAAAAAAAACAACAATGAAAATTTGAACAGTCTTCTAAGATATAGGACATAAAGAAATGAAGCAAATCTAAGTGAAATCCATAACATTTAAGTGCACATACACAGAATAAGTTGCAATTAGGAAGAGAATGTCTTTCTAGTTTGTCTGATTCAAACTTTACTAGGAGATTAGTATAGTAATTTTATGACATAGGTTCTCAGTGACATGAAAAGCCAAGGTAGAGGTTATACGAGGGAACTATCTTTAATTGGGCAGGTTTATTAAACAGTTTCGATTTAGATGGAACACACAAACACAAGTCATAGGAATCAACTGTAAATCATACAATAACTCAAAACCTAAGGATTCCTAATACCTGTTGGTAAGTTGTAACACAAAAACTAAGTATCTGGTTCACCATTTCACAGTATCATTAAAAAAACCAAATTCCAGTTGAATACTCAAAAACAGCTAAAGGTTCAATTAAAAATATTAAAACATTTTCATTTTATATGAGAATATTATCATTTTATCTGAACTCCCTCTCACTAACTGGTCAAGATCAGATTAATGGGTGATCCAAACTAGAACCCAGATTTCTACTATAACAAATTGTTCTCCTTGAAGGCATAAACCCACCAAACCAAGTAAGATGCTTGGCAAAAAAAATACAGTGGGGCCTTGACTTACGAGTTTAATTTGTTCCAAGACCGAGCTTGTTAAAGAGCTCGTTAACTCAAATTACTCCATCAACTCAATGCAAAAAATCAGCCGGGAGACAGCTGGTATCTCAAAAAACTCGTTAGTCAGGACACTCGTAAGTCAAGGCCCCACTGTATAGAAAGCATTTTTTAGATACCACTGTATGTCGAACATGGAAAATAATGACAACAGTCATGTAGTACTTGCTAAGTGCTAGGCAATTCCAATTAACTCATTTCATCCCCACATTAGCCAGCTATTACTATTTTTATAGATTAAAAAAAAAATCTGTCGAGACCACCAAGATGGCAGCATAGGTAAACACCTGAACTTGCTGCCACGAACAACCACATTAAACTACAGCTAAAAGACAAAACGAGTATCATTCAGAACCACAGAAAGGCTGAGTGGAAATTCTACAACTAGAAGGAAAGAGAAAAGAGCACTGAGTCCAGTAGGAGGTGCAGAGGTGTGGAAGTGTGGAGGTATGGAAGTGCGCAAAAGAGGCTGACAGCTGGGTACCTGTTGTCTTTTTCAATCGGGAGGGAGAAACAAGCTCCCGACTGCTCTGAACTCCAGTACCGGGCGAGAACTTGGGGACCCAGACTCATACTGAGAGAAACTGGACTGTCTGGCCTCGGGCAGGAACGTGAGGACAGCTTTCTCACAGAGGTGCTTGCAGTAGTCATTGTTCCTGCACAGGGCCGCGGGACACAGACCCCCGGGACCTCTCCAAGGCAGAGCAGACTGGCAGCCATTGTGGTTTGCTCCACACCGGTGATTCCCTGAGACCCTGCCACACCCAATTTACAACCCTAACCAAGCTGTGTGCAGAGGCTTTTGCATATGAATGGCCTGGCCTTTCTCTGCCTAAAAACCTGGGCAGACTCAGTGAATGCCAAAGCTCCACTGAAGTAAGCCCTGCCCCATAAGGGTGTCTCCAGCACAGAAGTTCTCCCATTGTAGACACAACTGGTCCTCACAGCCATTTGGCCTGGAGGTCAATTCCTCACAGTGATCCTACAACAATCAAGGCATAACTACAACAAGACTATGCACAAAGCCCACAAGGAGGTGAACCAAGAGTGTCCACCTCAGGTAACTGGGGAGG